ACGCAGCCGCAACGAAAAAAGAGAGAGAGGGCCACCCACACACGGCACGCGGCGCACACCTCACACACACACACAAGCACGCACAGGCACCCCCAACCCCGCACACAACGCAAGCGTGATGCATCACGGCACCCTCCCACACAAACAACGAGGGCAAATTAGATCTCCCTAGGCAAACCGTGCAAATTGCACGACACACACAACAACTGCGACGAGGCTTCTATCTTCTTCTCGTATTGCACTTGGCATTCGGATCCCCACAGCTCTGTGTGTGCGTAGTCACACGCAAATATCACCCACTCACAGTGAAATTGACTGCCTCGTCGCGGTGGCATTTTGTGTCGCAATTCGCTGAGGTGCAAAGAGGCAGACCATCCGCCGCCTGCTCCCCGTGAAAAGGAGAATTGACGCCACCGCATTCTCCCCCGCGACGTAAATATACGCTGCGCCCAGCACGTGGCGCGGTGCACGTGAATTCCGAGAGGGAACTGTTTGCCACGCGACTGGGCCGCACGGGACGCAGCCTGCGAGGGCAGCCGCAGACGCCTCCGCCTCCTTCCGTCGTCGTGGCGGTGGAACCCACAGCTTCTCAGGGTGCCGTTGCAGTTGGCGGCGCCGCGCTTCAAGACAATACTCCCACACGCAGTGCACTGCCTTCGCAAGGAAAGGAAGAATGAGTCACAGCGCACATTATTCCTTTGTCGTTGTCTCGGCCTCTTCATAGCCACCAGAAGGCATCCTCCACGTGCACTGTAGTAAATATATGTCGCGTACGTGTGTGCCTGCAAATACAAAAATTGAAAGAAAGGAAAGAGGAGCAAAGCGTGTGAGAACGCACATACACACACAGAAGAGATGCAGGAGGCAAAGAAAGAAAAACCAGATGACTAAAACTCAAAATGGCACCGCAGCACGCGCAGTGGCAACACACAAGAAATATGGTTCAACAAAAAAAAAGCTCCTCAAGATGTTCTCATACGACAATAAAAAATGAAAAAAAAATCCTAAAAACGATTTCACAAAAATAAAAAATTATCCTAAAGACGTTTGCACAAAACAAAAACAAAAATATGTTGTCGTGGAAGGCCCCTGTATTATCCCTCAAAACGAAAAGCGTTCATGTTTTGGCCGCATATAAAAATAAATGATATATTCGTTTCAATTACCGAGAGCCCCCGGTGTCCAGACACCTTTTTACTCGCACAGGGACCCGCAGTGCGTTGCTGTGGCTCTCATTTCTTTCCTCCTTCCTTCTCCCATCGTCGGAGACACAATGCCGAGAGCGTCCGCAGCCGCCCAAGAAGCGGTTAGTTGTTTTTATTCGTGTCTTTTCAAACTAATTCAGTGGCCTGCGCGTCAGCCAGCACAGTGGCACACGTCCGCCCACGCCAGAAACGAAGACGCAAGAGAGAGAGACCCCGGTCCCTCCCGTGGTGACCGCAGTGCAGAGGCGCAGTGAAGCATCCCCCGCCGCCGGGCAAACACGCAGACTCAACGCCGTCGCCGAGAACAAACCGACAAAAAAACAATAAAAACACATCCGTAAAGCAGTAAACCAACAAAACACTGAACGAATAAATAAAAACGGCGAATGGCACCCCGCCATTGCTAGAGGCGAACAATATAATAAACAAAAAGGACGAAATAAAATAAATGAGGACCCCGCTGTGCTAGTGCTGAGGGGAGAGCGCAATTTGTGGGTCAAAAAAAAAAAAAACGAAGCGTAAAATTAAACAAAATGCGTGCCCACATGAGAAAATATTCACTTCAGAGAGCGCGTGGAGAGACGGAGATGCTCTCAGTAGAAACACAAACTCCCCTCCACCGGGGTCCACTCAGCACAGGGCCGCAAAGCCCCATAGTCCCAATAGCAGCAGCAACAACCGAGACAGGTCCACACGCGTGGAGCTGTCACCTGTATGTTTCCCAAATGCTTTGGAGCTGTCACCTGCACGTTGCTCGGATACATGTGAGCCGTCAACCGCTTTGAGTTCATCTTCACTTAGTTGGCGGTTGTACAAAAAGACGTTCTTTATTGTCACACTGCTGTTTTCGCCGCCACCAAAGTAAAAATGAGTGATATCGTGCCTCACTGCCTCAAGGGTCGGTAGTTTGTTAGTATTCCCCACAAGCACGCCGTCCACGTACACAGAGCCCTCGTTGCCCTGCAGCATGAGCGCCACTTTGTACTCCTTCCCCGGCTTCCAAGTGCTGTTGTGTGTTGTTGTTGTCATGCCGTTGAAGACTGTACCCCACTGTTTCTTCGTCGTGCACGACAGCCCCACAAACTTTGTGTTTTGTTTTCCGCCCAGGCTCGCGCCCAGCAGAGGAACGCTCTCGTTCGGAACCTCATCGATCGTCACCGTCGCCACAAGCGTAAACTCGTAATTCACAAAGCTGTGCAACTCACCATAGCCATCATTCCACATGTTCACAGGCCATATTGCGTATGACCCATACTCCGTGAACTTAAAGCCACCTCTGACCTTCTTTGCATTCATGACAATTGCATCCACGCAATGGTACGCGTCGTTCCAAGTTCCATCACCCGATGCATCCGACAAGAACCCAACCAGACCGGCCGTGGGCACAGACGACTTGGAGAGGAAGGAGTCCATTTTTGCCCAAGTCTCCAAGACGGACGTGATCGCCTTCAGCTGCTCCGTTAGGGGAGCAAGAGACACACCTGTGGTCGCTTTACTGACCCTCTCCTGTAAAAGGTGCAATGCATTTTTAGAGTGCAGCAGGGTGTTGTTAGACGTCCACTTCTCTGCAGTGTCCATGGAAATGGGCCCGAGGTGAAACGTGCGGTTGTTGTCAGCAACCCAAAGGTAGAGCGCGGTTGCTTCCACCATCTCCCAAGGGGGAATCCCTTTCTGAGTGTACAGCATAACCTTCTTTCCAGCAATGGTCGCAGTGGTTATGGACCCCACTCCCTCAGCTGTTCGCAAAGAGTCTGGTAACAATATGGGCTGTGCTCCCGTAAATGTTCTGACAGCCTCCCTCCACGTTGCCCCCATGTCCCTCGACTCGAACACCTTGGAGAGAAAATTGCATTTGGCAACCATGAGAAGCTGCCCCTGCTCCCACTCAACGATGAGGGGGTCATTGCACCCCACGGGAAGCATCCCCTGTGGAAGCAACCAATTTTTGCCGTCGTCCTTCGAATAAATGATCATGGAGACAGTTTCGTTTTTTTTTGTCCTCCTCGCCGTCACAGGAAACACAAACGTGCCATCCTCCATCACAAGGCCTGAGCCACCACCACCAACAAACTGGTCCAGGCCACGTTGTTTAGCAGATAGGCCGATCTGTGGTACAAGCGAGGTGGGTTCGCCCCATTGGATGAGTTTATCTTGCGTGGCCTCACCCACGAGCAAATCAAGATCCTGGGAGGATACAATCCACTTCTTCGATGAAGGATCATACTTCTCATAAGAGTTTCCCACAAGTAGAAAAACCTTGTTTTCCTTTGCAACTGTTGTGGGTCGGTACGCATATCTCAGATAGTCGTTATGCTCCTCCTGCGTGGTCGTGTTAAAGATGTTGTACGCCTTCCATTTGTTTGCACGGACCTTAGCGACAAAAGACGACCAGCTCTCCGCAGAGTCAACGTACCCCGCCACAACATCAGCGTGCATGACCCAGTTTTGTTTCTGATGGGTGTGTTGAAAGAAGGCGATGCCGTCTGCAAGTGCAACCAACACTCCACCAGCACTGGCGAGGGAAGGGTGGGCAAAAGATTCCCTCGTTTGACTTTGGCCTTGTGTTTCCACAATCGTTCGATGTGGCATAAAAAGATCAACAGGCTCTGGTATTTGCATTTCCTCTGGTTTACCTTCCTCGGCGTGCACAGTCGCACTGGCAAAGCACATCTGCAGAAAAAGAAGCAGCAGCACCGAATAAGAAAACATGTGCCGGTACATCATGGGCCGTCGTTGCTCACTCACTGTCTCACTTCCCTCCTTGTGGTGGATCGGCTCAGGCCGCAACGATTGTGTTTCTGTGTGTGTGTGTGTGTGTGTGTGTGTGAACAATAAAAGTGAGGAGGAGCAAACAGGGCAAATAGAAAAGAATGAAGCAATGCGCACCGCCCGCACCCACAGTTGGGTCCACACACCGTCATCATCACTAACCCCGCAGTGCTCCCCGCCGTAGCGTGCGCACACCGAAACACATACAAGCAGAGAAGAGGAAGAGGAACGGAAAGCGCAACAACTGCAGCAAGCAACAGAAACCACTATGACCGCTTCAGCTGCCACGCGGCAACACACACCGTTTGCCCCCAACGGCGGAAACTCCTCTCAGCTCCTCCACCGTGGCGGGAGCAACGCCGGCACCTGCAGCCGTTGGGCGCGAAACGGGCCGCACTTCCCCACGCCTCTCACACGGCGGCCAGCTGCGCCAGGCGCACGCCCACTCGAAAGCAGCGGCTCCAACACGTCGCGTGAGCCGCACAAAAACAAAACGCCACGGCACCGATGGCCACGCCGCCTCTGCGCCCCCATGACGACGACAGACGAATCACTCGGGGTCGCGCCAAAAAATACACACCACAGCAGACACCACACCGCAAAGAGCGAAGCACGACGCCCCATCGTGCGAGGGCAAAAACACGCGGAGGAGAAGCTAGCCGCACAGCGCACCCACACACCCGCAACGCGAAGGACGGGGCGAACCCACGTCCACCGCACAGTCTGCCGCTGCCGCACATTTCCCCTCACCGATCCGCATCACGCCCCACGGCAGGATGCGATGGGTGGTGCCCCACACACTCGCAGCGAGACACGCCGCACACCCCGCCCATTCTCTCCCTCCACAGCGGGTGCCTTCAAAGCGGCCGCCACACGCCCCGTCACTCCCGCGCCATCGCAGCGAAAAACTAAACGGCTCCTCCTCGTGGACTACCGGTGTCTCTAGCAGGAAGAAGAAGAGGAATGGGGGTATGTCAGCCGCACAGCCGGCAGCGGCAGCAAACACGACACGGCGACACGCAGCGACGGTGGCGGACACGGCACAAACTAAAAGTGAGCCGCAGTGATTTAACAAACAAAAAAAAGAAACAAAATTAAAGCGGAAGCTCAGAAGAATTCCTGGCGGAAACAAAAACAAAAGATAAATAAATTACTTCGGCAAGCGTCTTTTCCTTGCGTGCCCAAAATCCCAAGAGGACCGTTTGTGTATATTTATTTCCTGCGCTGAAGCAAAAAAAAAAAGAACCGCCGTGTTCCACGAGCCTGCACATCCCTCCCACACTTCGTGCGGCATGCGGCCTGCGCTTCAACGCGTTGGCTGCGTCGTCAGTGGGGCGCACAGCAATGCGGCCGCCACCCATGGCACAGCGCGTAAAGCAAACGGCCATTGAAGCAGAAAGCAAATAAAGAAAGAAAAAAAACTGAGATGCCGATGATCCAGCAAACCACCGGCA